TACCTACCAGGCTCTCCTAAAACCGGCAGAGAAGTGTCTATTTCAGAAGACCTCATGCTACAAAGCAATGATAACCATGCCAGGTGTCCAAATAACTCCTAGGACAGCGAGTGGCAAGCAGCCCCAGTGCCTCCAAGTAGGAGAATGGGACCTTAACTCAGATGAGAGTCCTTGGGTGGTGGGGAGGATAAAGACAGTGGATGTGTTGCTGAGATGCTGCTGGCCACATCAGATCAGAGGCTGTTCTAGGGAAAGGACAGATACCAAATGTGGATATGATCTGCTATTGTCACACACATTCCTGCTACAGGCAATTCGAGGTCCAAAGAAAGCATGCTTTATAAATGAAAAAACATTGATGGTCTAATTCTTACCTTTGATTTGTATGCAAATGCTATTACGGATTCTAAGTACATAGTACAAGGAACAAGAATTTCTAGGTTCTAATCCTAGAATAGGCACAGATAAACAGATATCTGCTAGTGGAAAATATCAGGTGCTTGGAAATTCAGAGCTGACTGTTCATAACCAGGAAGTACCTATGTGAGTACTTAGTATGTGCCCAGAATTAAATAATTTGAAGATGCACACAGCAGGCAGGTCAAACAAATATCAATGTAAAGAAAGGTAAGTAGGACACAGGAAAAAGACCCAGAGGTTCCATGGGAAAGAGAAGCAGCCCAGCCAGGCTGCATGAGACGTGGTCCCAGCCCACAAGAAGCACACAAGACAGTTGTGCCCTGCCTCTGCTCTAAGTTTCAACTCTAAGCCACATTATCCCTCCTAGGCCCACACATCTGTCTCATTTGCTTCTCCCTCCCTCCCTGTGTCTCAGATTACTGCTCTGCCCGGGGTTACCTCTGTTACTGGAGGGTTTGTATCCTTTCCAAAGCAGAGTGGCTGTGGTGACCCAGGAGCTGAAGTGCCTGCCTGACATCTGTGGGTGTGCCTCCCTTAGCCCACTCAAGTCAATCACAAATCATAAGGGCCAACCAGAGAGATGATGTATAGACAGAAGGCAGCAAAAGCCAATTAGTTCCTGAGCTTGAGAGCAATTTGGGATCCTGGTAAATCTGGCACATAAGCAGGGACATGCCAAACCCACCTTTGGGAGATCTAGAAGGAGGCCAGTGCACAATATCCCTTTGCCCTGGCTTTCTGCCCAAATTGTTCTCTCTTGGATATAGCTCCAAGTTGATCCCAGCAGTGGGTCAATTATAGAGCAAAGAACATTTTAGTCCAGATCTTTACCTTCAAGCAAAACCCTAGCTAATCCAATCTGAACAAATGGGTATAACTTGTTAAAACCTGCCTAGATATATAATCTTTAACTTCCAATAACAGTTTGTTCCCAGAGCTGCTTTTCAGCCAGTATACACCAGTATAGCTATATCAGGTATTAAAATACTGAGCTGGGCATGATGGCATACAACTGTATTCTCACTGACTCAGGAGGCTGAGGCAGGAGGATCACAAGTTCAAAGCCAGCCTCTGCAACTTAGTGAAGCCCGCAAGACCCTGTCTCAAAATAAAATATAAAAAGGACTGGGGATGTGGCTCAGCAGTTAGGTGCCCCTGGCACCAAAAGGAAAAAAAAAAAATTAAAAGATTGTTATTCAAAATTTTTCACAATTAGCACCATTCTTTACTCTTCTTTCTACTTTTTTGTCCTACCCAACCTAGTTGYTCCATATTCCCAAACACTAAATTTTCCCTGATGCTTAGTCTTTGTTTATGCTGTTTTTTTCTCCCTGTTTTTTTCTCTTTCTGGAATCCATCAAAATAATATCAGCTCAGACAGGGGTTGTGGCTCAGTGGTAGAGTGCTCGTCTAGCATGCATGAGGCACGGGTTTGATCCTTGGCACCACATAAAAATAAAAAATAAAGATATTGTGTCCATCTAAAATTAAAAAATAAATATTTAAAAAAGAATCTATCAGCTCCTCAGGATCTCTACAAATGTCCCCACTTTCATGAAATGGATTGAAAGCTATACTCCATTTCCAGAAGCATCACAAAAAACATCTAGGTTCTACATTTGGAAAACTTGATGACTATTTCATAATCTGATTCTTTTTATATAAACACATTGCTCTCATCCTAGATAGAAAGTAATAGAGAGCAGAAACTATATCATGGTCATCACATCTAAATGACTTAACACAATAGGTATGCATTAAATAAATATGTGTAAATAAGTGAGTGCACATCCCTAATTCTTTTGTCCAAGGGATCCATTTTCTATTTTTTAATGATTTTGGTTGTTTTTTCTCTGAATGCTAGCCCAACTGTGGCTGTTATCTTTTTCTACATATGGAACCCAAATTGCACACCATACATATCTTAAAACTACTGGGTTATTTCATGAAGATGAAGCAGGAAGGAAGCATGCTCCCCTGTCATTACTTTACCACCCTGGAGTTTGTGACTGCCATCTCTCTGTACACTTCTTCCAGCGCTAGACCAATACRCCCCTCACACAGGGACAGGCAAATGACAGGTTCTGGGCAATGAAGGCTGGCCTTACAGATGACAGGCAAGCTGGTGGTAGAGTGAGTTGGCAGAGATTGCTAGAAAGAGGAGGCAGAGTGGCTTTTTGGGAAGCAGGGCCAAGATGGGGTTCTGGTTGTCATGGTCAAGGGCCCGGAGTACAGTACTGGAAGGGGCAGTTTTACTACTCTTGTTGCCAATGATGTGGGGTGTGGAGGAGGGAATGTTAGCAACCTCTTTCCTATCTCTTCTTTCCCAATTTCTTTTCCCCAAATCTCCCTTCAAAGAAATAGCTGTGAGCTGATAATAAGAGCTATAGGACAGGAAGGAACTTTGATGCAAAATGTCAGGGGTTTTTAAACAACAAAAAAGAGATGGGGGGCAAGGTGCCAGAAACCACCTCCACTATCTAAATCTCATCCCATAAGGAAATCAAGGAAAGAGCTGAACACTTTGCATAGCAGATGGATTCCAGGGTTCTAGGAGACTGAGAAAAGGAAAGAAGAGATCCATCAGCACCCAGGCTCAACCTCTTGATAAAAATTACAGGGAAACAGAAAGCCAGTTCTGGAATAGGAAGTTGGGAGCATTTTTCTGGAGGAGGTTTGGAAGAAGAAAAAAAAAAAAGAATAAGAAAACCAAGTCAGATTCATCCACTAGTGGAACCCAACAGACCCAAGAACTGACTGCTTAGGATGTGAAAATCAACAGGAGATAACAACTGGAAGCCAGAGTGTGAGATCATTATCATGGCAAACAGGTTTTTGGTCTTGGAGGAGTAAGCACACCCGAAGTAAAAGAAAAGTAGGGATGGGGAGAAAGGAGGTCACTGACTTCGGAGTCACACACACACAAAAAAAAACTGCCTTCCTCTCTGTCTTTAATTTGTGCAGAAGATCCTAATGACTGTCACATGAACAAAATGAAGGCCACACAGGGAAGGTGTATCCCTCCCAGGCCTCCCACCTGTGTACACTGGAACAGAGCTCAGCTACTTGGGACTGAGTAGCCTTGTGTAGGTAGAGGTTCAAGGGAGGGAAGAACTAGCTATGAGAAGGCAGTCTGGGCTTATCAGAATTCTCCTAGGTAGAGCTGTGGGACTGTGGCTGAACACAGTTTTCCTCCCTATATTTTGAGATCTCTGGGCCTGGAAGTGCTCAAGTGGCAAAGGTTATACAATATTAGGATCCAAACTAAAAGGGACCTTGGAGATCATTTAGACTAAATTTCTTTGACCTGAAAAACTGTCACTTTCTCCCTTGATTGCCCAAGTTACTTTGCTTGGTGACAAAGTCAGTCTTAACACAACCAGAATGATCTCCACTGGCACAGAGTAAAGAGGTTAGGCCTTAAATATATATTTCTAACCTGAACCCACTCAGTTACTGTTCTTAGTAATTCCCTCTTTTGGGCCACAGGAGGAGGCAAAGCACCACACCCAACTCTGGGGAGAGGAGTTAACACAAATACAGGTCAGAGCATTTTCTCCGAGGTTTAAGGAAAGGGGAAGTGAAGCCATGGGATTCAATGAGCTAGAACTTTGAACCAGGGTCCGGCAGGCAGGGGAAGGGCACCTCACCATTCTGGGAATTTCTCCACTCCTTGTGGCTATTACATTGATCTTTTACTTTCTTAAGTCCATCAAAAGTCCATTGAAAGGCACTTTGGGGAGAGTCACACCTTTTGAAGTAGGGAAAGAGACTGTTTCCTCCCATTTTTTTTTTTTTTAGGAGGAAATTGAGGCACAGAAACATCAAGTGACTTCGGTAAAGTTAAAGATAGACATAATAATCTACCCACTACCGGGTCCACTGTGCTGTCCCTCCTCTTCTGAAGTTTGCAGATTCTGTAGGATTTGCAAGGAGGGCTTCAGAAAACTAGCAGGAGGTGACCTGAAAGAGAAGTAGGGACTGCGCAGCGAGGTGGTGGGAAACTTGAGAGTACAGGCTGGGAGCCGGGTGAAGCATGGGGTGGGGGAAGATGGGGTGGCTCTCCGAGGAATTATTCAAARAGAACCCAAGAAGACACAGCAGGAGGGGTGGGTAAACTTTGTGTCGCTCCGACTGGAGCGCATGGCCTCGGTGGAGACCGTCCAGGGCATACTACAACCGAACCTCAAGCCCACGCGTGGACCGCGCGTTTCTTTMCGGCGGAGCTGCAAGCCTGGAGAGGTGGGAGGTGCCCCAGGTCTCAGCCAGCGTTTTGGCAGGGCAAACCTGGAGCCGCCTCGTGTCCTCTCCGAGGGGAGAAACGAGAAGCCCCGAGAATGTCCCGGCCCCACATGGCCCGAAAGGCAGAGCCAGGCTCGGGAATTCGGAGGTCCGGCCCTGAAGCTGCTCCCCACCCGCGTCCGCCTCTCTCCCCCAGTAGCGCGGGGCGGCGCCGGGCACCTGGAGACGAAAACGAGTTGGACATCGAGTCCCAGGTTGACGCTGTTCCCCCCAACGCGCGAGCCACGGGTGCCGCCTCCTCCCACCTCGGCGCTGTCCCTCGCCCCGCGGCTACTTACTCCGGTTCAGGGGGTTCCCGCCGACCTGGGCCGACGCCACCAGTTCCAGATACAGAGTCCAGAGCCCCACGGACACCACCGCGAGTACCAGCAGCAGCCGGAAGCGCCTCCGCAGCAGCTTGACCGGGCGCAGGAGCAGCAGGAGCAGCGCGGCCCGGGGGCTCCCCATGGCGCTGCGCCGAGGCGGCCGCCGCCAGCGCGGGCTGCTCCCCACCCAGCCTCCGCCCCCCGGCCGGGCCCAGCGCCCAGGGCGCCCGGAGCCCCAGCCCCAGCCCAGCGTCTCAGGGCTGCGCCGAGGCCGTCTTCCCCGGCCGCTCTCCAGCGGGGCTCCTGTTCATGCTCTGAGCCAGGGGTCTCAGGCTGCGCGGGCGCCTCAAAGGTCTCTCTCCACAGCAAAGCCCGGCTCCTCCTCCACTGAGTGTCCTCAAGGCTCCGCTCTCCACTCCACGCCTCTCCTTGTCGCAAGCTCGCTGCCGCCCTCCCTCCTCGTTCGCTCGCTCGCTCGCTCGCTCGCTCTTACACGCTGCCCAGAAGGAGGCTTCCCTGGGTGCCCGCCCGTCGCCTTCCTGTCCTCTCTCCTCCTCCAGCTCTGGCGGTTTCTCCCGGCTCTGGGCACTACCTCACACCCCACCTGTCCCGCCTCCGCCGAAGCCCCGCCCCCGGAGCACAGGTGGGCTCCGCCCCTGACGAGCCCAGGGAAGGGGAAGAGCCCCTCTGAGGGCACCGGGTGGAGGTGGAGCCGAAGTACAGATCCCTGGTGCCTCCGCGCACTGAGGATGGGTTGGGTAAAGGAGGGGTGAGTTATGATCAGGATTCTGTGACTGAGGGAAACCGAGTCACCGCCGAAGCCCTTGATGGTGTTCCTCCCAAGCGGAAAAGTGGAGCGGAGGCCCGTTCATATTGGGGTGATACCCATGGCTTTTACTTCAAAGCCTTTCATTGCCTACAATGACCCTGCTCCCTACTTAAGGAAACAGGAGTGGGCATGATATGAGTCGGACGCAATTATACACTTAATACAGCCCTACTTCTTTTTTCAAGGTCAGTTTTGAAGACCCTCCCTTCCCGGCTTCAGTCACATCTCTGAGAGGCCCTGAGGGAAACCCCAACAAGTGATTTCAGGGATGAAATCACTGTTGGGAAAGAATATATGTTGGAAAGTTCCAAAGAAAAATTAAAGACCAAATAGGGGTATGGGGGCTGGGATTGTAGCTCAGTGGCACAACATGCTGAATAAGCCCCAGGCTCTGAGTTCAATCCCCAGCACCAAAAGAAGTCAAAAACCACAGGGGGATGGGAGAAGCAAAAAAGCTAAAAAAGATCATTAAGATACYCTGCATTCCAGTTCTCTGTACTCCAATTCTCTGCCTTCAGTCAAATAAAGCATTATTATCTGATTTAAATGAGATAAAGTACAAAGGGGCAGAGTGAACTGCCTGAGGTCAGCAGTAGACTTTTTTTTTTTTTTTCCACTCTCTCTCCTGGAGAAAAGACTATGGAGAAAGGAGGAGGTCTAAAGTGTTCCTGGTGCCTGACACCATCTCCATCCTGCAGGTGATGTTCAAAGTGTCTGGTCACCTGTGTGATAGGAGCACAGCAATGAAAATGTATGCTGCCCTACCACAAGGCCTGGTTCAGGTCCAGGAGAGCCCCAAGGAGCCATAAAAAAAAAAAAAAAAAAAAAAAGTGTTCCTGGATCAGGAACTGCAGCACATGTCTGTATTCAGCAGCACTGGAGACTGAGGCAGGAAGATCACATGTTCCAGCCTAGCCTCAGCAATTTATTGAGGCACTCAGCAACTTAGCAAGGCTCTGTCTCAAAATTRAAAAATAAAAATAAAAGGGGCTGAGGGCGTATCTAAAGGGTAGAGCACCCCTGGTTTCAATCCCAGAACCAATAGATAAATAAATAAAATGTACAGAAACACTTTTTCCTTCCTCTTTGGTGAAGGGAATTGAACCTAGGGGCACTCCACCACTAAGCTAAACCCCCAACCCCCCCCCTTTTTTTTGGTACTAGGGATTGAACTCAGGGGCACTCAACTACTGATCCACATCCCTACTCCTATTTTGTATTTTATTTAGAGACTGGGTCTCACTGAGTTGCTTAGGGGCTTGGTAAATTGCTGAGGCTGGCTTAGAACTCAGATCCTCCCGCCTCAGCCACCTGAGCCACTGAGATTACAGATATGCACCACCGCTCCTGGCTCCCTTTTTCTTTTTTATTTTGAGACAGGGTTTTCCTAAATTGCTGAGGCTGGCCTTGAACTTGTGGTTCTCCTGCCTCAACCTCCTGAGTCACTGGTACTACAGGTGAGTGCCACAGCACCTGGTTACTAATCTAACTTTTCCTAATTAGCCTCTTAACTCCAAGCTCCCTTACCCTAATCCAGCCACCATTCTCTCTATCATCAGATAGTCTTGAGTTTTTCTTTCTTGTTGTCATTTCTTTGTTTCCTGTCACTGGGTTTTGAACACAGGGCCTCACACATTCTAGGCAAGTGCTCTACCATTGAGCTATATCTCCAGCCCTTTTCTTTTTCCTTTGAGACAGTTTTTCACTAAATTGCCCGAACTAGTCTTCTTTCAATCCTCCTGCCTCAGCCTCTGAATAGCTGGGATTATAGATGTGTGCCACTGTTCCTAGCAACAGTTTCCATCTTTATATGACCATATGAAACCTGCCCTCCAACATTTTTGTTTTGTTTTGTTTTGTTTTATGACACTGGGGATTAAACCTACAGCCTCACCAATGCTAGGCAAGTGCTGTACTACCACTGAGCTACATCCTCATATTTTCTTTTTTAGTTAATCAAGATTTATCATTTCGGGGCCTGGGGATGTGGCTCAAGCGGTAGCGCGCTCGCCTGGCATGCATGCGGCCCGGGTTTGATCCTCAGCACCACATACCAACAAAGATGTTGTGTCCACCGAGAACTAACTAAATAAATAAATATTTAAAAAATTCTCTCTCTCTCTCTCTCTCTCTCTCTCTCTCTTTCTCTCTCTCCTCTCTCACTCTCTCTTTAAAAAATAAAAATAAAAAATAAAAAAAATAAAAAATAAAAAAATAAAGATTTATCATTTCTTGCCAGATGTAGTGTGGCTCATGCCTGTAATATCAGCCACTTAGGAGGCTGAGGCAGGAGGATCTCAAGTTCAAGGCAAGGCCCTCAGCAACTGGGTGAAACCCTATCTCAAAAGGCTTAAAAAAAAAAAAAAGCCTGTCACAGTGGAGCACCTCTATATGCTTTATCCTCAGCAACTCTAGAGGATAAAGCAGGAGGATCACAAGTTCAAAGTCAGCCTTAGCAACTTAGCATAGACCCTGTCTAAAATGAAAAACACAAAGGGCTGGGAATGTGACTCAGTGGGTAACTAAAATATAAATAAATAAATAAATAAATACAAAAAAGGGGGGCTGGGGATGTGGCTCATTGGTAAAATATCTCAGGGTTCAATTAATCCTCAGTACCCAGCCAAAAAAAAATTTTTTTTACCCTTTCTCCAAGGTCTATTTCAGATTCTAGTAAGCTTTCTTGGATGAGCCCAGTCCTAAGCAACCTCTTCCTCTTTGGAACTTTTCATTTGTCTCACCATTTGATACACTGAGAGTTAACTTTGAATGTTGGTCCTGATTCCTCAGTGTCATTGTAAGCCTTTAAGAGTGGGAACGTGTGTTCCCAATATGCGGCATAATATAGCACAATTTAGCACTCAGTAATGTTTGAGGATGAGGGTAACACTTTGAGCAAACATCTTCCAGAATATTCACTGGAGTTCTTAAGCAGAAAGTGAATCCAAAGGACAATTCTCTAATAGTAGCCCCTGGAAAGTGTCTCTGCGATGTTCCAAAACCCACAGATTTGTGCACTTTGCAAACCTTCCTTTCTTTCCAAAAGTCCAAAACAGGAGCAGACAATATGTGCACGCTTTGGCTGAGTCAAGTGTGAAGTGAGCAGGGCCCCTGTAAATAGTCTCTTTCTCACTGGGAGCAACACAACTGCATGTTAGGCTGAGTCACTTGCAGCACTTTGTCATGGAAACAGGTGGAGCCCCACCATGATTCTCTCCTCAAGACTGGCCCTCCTGAGATAATTCATGCAATCATTTCATTCTACCAAATGCTCAAAGTACCTCTTATGTGGGAATTGGGAGAGAGATAATACAGAGAATGCTGTTTAGTTGAGGAGAAAAGGTGGTCCGCAGAAAAATAAATCAGCCATTTTAAAGACCAGATTTCGGGACCAAACAGTGAAGTGTAAAGAAATTCAGAGGTGTAAAGAGATCACCTGATGTTTTGCTTTGGATCTGGAAATGGAACCAAGGTTCCGTTTTGCTCCACAACTGAGCCATACCCCAACCCCTGTACTCTGTTCTTACCACTTGCCCTAGTATGGTGATGTTGGAGTGGGGTGAGGGTAAGAAGGACAAGAAATTCTTGTAGCTAGCTCTTCTCCTTTCCTTTTCTGTTCTCCTTCCTGCTATGGTGGCCAAGGATAGAATCCAGAGCCCCATTCAAGCAAAGCAGCAAAGCAAGCACTCTGCCACTGAGCCACACCTCCAGCTTCCACATCCTTTTTTTAATTATTTATTTATTTATTTTGTGTGTGTGTGTGTGTGTGTGTGTGTGTGTGTGTGTGTGTATGTGTGTGTGTGCTGCTGGGAATTGAACCCAGGACCTTGTGAATGAAAGGCAAGCACTCTACCAACTGAGCTATATCCCCAACCCCAGTCCCTCTTTGACTTCTAATGATATCACAGCAGGGAAGGACTTAGACTTTGGCACACAAATTCCTTTCCTAATCAACTGAGTTCCAGAGCTAAGTGTATGGATTGGGTTATTCATGGTGGCCCATTTGGGTGGCATAATATAGTGTCACCAATGTCTATTCATTTTGTCAATTTAACCAGATACTCACTAGTTCTTCTGATGGTTTTCCTTCTCCTTTTGCCCTTCCACATTCAGCCCAGAATGACCCAGGGTCACAACACACCTGAAAGGAAAAATAATTCTCATTATTTTACCTCTAATGCTATTGGGAGGGGCTCTGATCTTTGGCTTGGCAAGGTTATTGGAGTAAGGGCAGATCAAACCACAGAGATTCTTAGCATTCAGTTACAGGGGCTTGGCAAGATTTCTAAAGTGGGCCAAAGTTAGTATAAGCCAGACATTCAGAAT